TATAAATCTAACAATTCTCCATAACCTTTTTTACTAAATACACGATATTTGTCTATTAATTAATCTAGTAGTGATTCAGTCACTGTAAATATCTCAATCCTATCGATAGTCATTTCCCATTACAGTAGATCTTTGCTCTCATCATAGATTTAAATGCTGCACAGTGAGTGAATGTATCAATTCCCACAATGTTTGTGTGTACAAGTGAAAATGAATATGAAATGTTGTAATTCTAGGGTTAAAATCCAAATGATGATGTTGCTAATCATAATAATCATCATTTACACACAATTTAAAATAGTTTTTTTTTTAAATAGACAGTTATGATTTATTTATGTAATCTTGATAATTACTACATACAAGTTGTATAATAATTAGTAATTTAACTTAGATAAAAATTATTGAATCATATAGAAGAAATATGTGAATAATAATAATAATAAATTGTACTAATATTTTCATTTTAATTGATTAAAACTAAAATTAGTGTTTATTTTTCAATGAATAATTCATTCCAAACAGCACAGGTGACTAGGATTGCTATACATGCCATGAGTATGCATGTATGTATTTACATGTATGTGTTAGAGATATAGATGTCTATGTTCAATGTACAATCTTATCATAGAGATGTTTGAAATTATCTGATAAATGTTTAACCTAATAATAATAATAGTGGTATTAATAATAGTAATAGTAATAATAATTTAACCATATATTTGTGTAGTTGTAATTGACAGATTGATTTTACATTCAGAGAATTCAATAGTCAATTTTTATCTATTGAATTGTCGTGTTATTGATTGATTGATTGATTTTGTAGAAAAAAAAAAACAGAAATAATCGATCGATAAGTTAATTAAACACATCAGAATTATTGATAAAAAGAAAAATAGAATTTTTATTTAATAAAATATGAAAGTGTAACAAGTTAAAATAGGTGCAGGGAAAATAAAGCAACTTCTCACAAATTGTGATAAATAAAGAAAGCTAATTAAAATAGTTTCAATTAACTATCTTCTTATTGAAGGGTGAATTCTGAATATGGTTTTAAATTATCGTTTGTTTGAATGAGGCTGATAAAGGGTTCAAACTTATTGATTGTTTCTAGATTGCAGATAATACTTGATTGACAAGTATCAACTAGTAGAAAATCTAATGAGCCCAAGATTTCTTGGTAAATAATAACATCTCAATGTTTACTTGTAAACCTAGCTAATGAGAATAGGAACAATATTCGAGTGAATTCATTTTTTTGTTTTCTGTTTAATCAGTTTTCTGGTTAGCGTTTCTTTTTAGCTAGGTTAGTTTTCTATGGGATTGGGGTCACTAACCCCGTGCTCAACCCTCCTCTTTTATACGAGCATGGGACTAGCAGTAACCTCATAAGGGCTTTAGGCAGACATCAAAGGAATAAATAGCAGTTGGGTAGGAATGCAAAAGAAAGTCTATGACAGAGTAGGTTGGAGAATGTTGATCAACAGTCATGACTGTCAAACTCATTATTATTATTAGCGATCGTGATATGCGATAGAGAACCCCAATAACAATGGCCCCGGGGAATATTAGAAAACAACCACCAGTATCAATGAAATCGGTCACTGCCAACAAATTTTGTATATGGACTGTTAGCTATACTTGTCAAAGCACAGCCAAGCCACCACAATGTTCTCAGAGAACCTCTCGTCTCATAGGAAACCTTCAAGTCTATTTGGTAATAAAGCCTATGGTATATACAACTCCAAACAACTTTCAATCAAAACCAAAATCAGGATATTCAATACAAATGTCAAGACAGTTCTACTGTATGGAGCGGAAACATGGAGAACTACCAAAGCCATCATCCAGAAGATACAAGTGTTTATTAACAGTTGTCTATGTAAAATACTTCGGATTCGTTGGTCAGACACCATCAGTAACAACGTACTGTGGGAGAAAACAAATCAGATTCCAGTGGATGAGGAAATCAGGAAGAAGCGGTGGAAGTGGATAGGACACACTCTACGAAAAGCACCTAACTGCGTCACGAGACAAGCCCTCACATGGAACCCTCAAAGCAAAAGGAAAAGAGGAAGGCCAAAGAACTACATTATGCCGAGAAAGAGAGAAAGATATGAGAGGAATGAACAAAATGGGACAGAACTGCAAAGGGAAGGCCCAGGACAGAGTTGGTTGGAAAACTGGTGTAGGCGGCCTAGTTCTCCATTGGGGGTAACAGGCGTAAGTAAGTAAGTAAGTAAGTAATATACATCGTATGGCATAGGATAGTAATAAGTGCATTCCAGCTTGATGCATATGGTCTCAAACATTCTTATTACTCTTTATCTCATGTCGAGTGATAGTGTTTTCGCAATAGTGAAAATTTCATTTTTCGATTATATAGGATCTGAGTTAGGGGTTGTATCCCTTGAAATACGATACTGACCGAAGTATATAGAGGTTAAAAAGAGAGGTACAGAATAGTTTTAGCTAGATGCTATGTTATCCGCTAATTACAGATGGTTGAAAAAATGAATGCTATCAGAATGGGGTTTAGGGGATTTAAAAAAACTCACTGATTAGTCATCATTAGTAACTTAACTGGCATTTAAGGATACAGAGACAAACATGTCCTCTATATATAGACTATCATACCTAGTAGAACTACTTATCAAACTAAATCCGTATTTGGCTTTCGGGTTTCACTTCATTTCACTCTGCTTGCATTCCTTCCATTCTAAAATCTGTTTGCTTAAATGAATATATGAAAGAAATTCATCCGGGAAACCATATTTGGCTTCTTAAAACTGCCGTCACACAAACAGGGTTCGTTTAAATATGACATATTGGGGAGATTTATTTCATAGTATGTTTAATTGTTTATAAATATCAAAATCAGGATGCAACCACAAAAGTGGTGAGCTATAAACTAAATTGAACGAGGCCACCAAAATATTGTTACGGCAGGCAACTAGAGATTCCGAATGCAGATGTAGGGTGCGGATCGGCAAATCAAAGGGCTGCATTTCTAGAATTGAACAACATCTGTAACTCTAAACAAAAATCAATCAACACTAAAATCACAATTTTCAATACAAATGTCAAAACAATTCTACTGTATGTGGGGTAAACTTGGAGAAACTACGAAAGACATCATTCAGAAGATACAAAGAATTCATTAACATTTGTCTACAAGGGTACTTCGGATACTTTGGCCAGACACCATCAGCAACAACCTGCTGTGGGACAGTAACAAACCAAATTTTAGTGGAGGAGGAAATCAAGAAGAAACGACCGAAGTGGCTTGGGTATACATTGAGGAAAGCACTGAACTGTGTCACGAGGCAAGCCCTGACTTGAAACCTTCAAGATCAAACGAAAAAAGGAATACCAAAAAAACACATTACACCAAGAACCTGGAGACAGACATGAAAATTATGGACAACGGAACTGTACAGAACTGTAGACGAAGGCCGAGGACAGCATAGGTTGGAGAATACTGGCCGGTGACCTACGTATGCTCCATTGTGGATAACAGGCGCAATTAAGTGAGTAACTAGGAAAAGGCAATTATTTAAAGTCAATCGAACAACTTGAAAACACATATCATTCAAAAAACATACTCTGGTTTCGGCAGTCCATTGGGTTCTTCACGACCTAAACCAACAGGATTACTTTCAGCTTCAGCACTGCTCAACATTTCAAACTGACATTCAATTTTACCCTAAAAAAATCAAATAGTGAGGAAAAAAAGAAAGGTATGTTATTAAAACGGTATTAACAAAGGGAATAGACAAAGAATTAGCAACTAAAATCCATACTCGTGAGTACAATCCTCTAGCTAATAAGATAACATGTTAACATTTAAAGGAAAAGATAATCAATGAGTCCAAGTTCCAGTATGAATATCAACACTTGGATTCAAGTACATTTAGATTAGTTTTTAAGTAGAATTGTGGTGCTGTGGCGCGAACTATCCTGAAACGGACGTTGTTCTACTGTGTTACAGTATTGATAGACCTGATAGCCTGGAAAACATTTCTGAGAAATGGGCACCAGAAATCAAACATTTTTGTCCCAATGTCCCTATTATCTTAGTTGAGAACAGAGCGGAGACAAGCAATCAGGAATGTGAGAGAGAAACAAACATCAGACAAGGAGAAGTCGGAACAGGAGAGAAAGAACTGGAGACCGTTTGAAGTGGGAGACCAGGTGAAGTGTAGAGAACGGAAATATACCACAGGAAGAGGGCCAGGGTCAGGTAAGCTGATCCCGAAGTGGGAGGGACCGTACGTCGTCACCGAGAGGCGCGGCGCAGTGTATACGATCCAGAAAGGAAACAAACAGAAACGCGTGAATGCCAGTGAACTCCAAAGGTGGTTCCAAGTGCGCCAAGAGGGCAAGCCACAAACACTGATAAAGAAGACGGCTGTACGGAGATCAGAAAGACTACGACGACAGCTTATTAAAAGGGGGGACGAGTGTGGTGCGAACTACTTATAAGTAGTATATAACGTGAGTGTCAAAGTAAAGCCTGGTAGCATAATATGGGGGGAAGATCAAGAAAGGAAGAGTTAGAAACAATGGAATTTGTATGAAACGCATGAATAGTGACAATGGATTGATGTTTGGCAACAGGAACAGTTGAGAAAATTTGTAGCTCAGGTGGATGATTGTGGTGGTGTTTCGTTCTCTGAGCTGGTTGTTTTGGTTGTGACAACCAGCTCAGAGAACGAAACACCACCACAAACAGGAACAGTCCAGTTCCATAGGATGAACTGATCTTTTGCAAATGAACGATTTACGATATGGTTTTCCGATTTTACTGAGTAACTCTGTAATTTTCGTTAAATACAATTTGATTCGGTTGCCATCACCTGTGTTCTCATTCACAACAGAATGAAATGTACATGATTGTTTCTACTTTTAACCATTATCCATTGTTAATAAAAACAATCTTTTCAGGGTTAACATAAATCAGTAGAGAGTGATTAATTAAACACCTTAACATAGACAATAAGGATATTTGGTGGAGAAAATTTGTAGCTCAGATGAATGAATCTGATGGAGTTTCATTATTTGAGCTGGATGTCTTGGTTAAGGAGCTTTCATTATTCTTCTGCTGAGTGTTTGGGACGTTAGAACTCCAGAACTCAGTTGATAAGGGTCCTAATTTTGGATTTTATGCTTTCGAGCATGGGCTGATCAGTTGACCGTGGGATGACATTTCCCACTCGGAAAATCCTTGACTGTTGTTTGTTGATGTGTTATTTTAGTACGCTATTTTTGTGGGTCTCCTCAGGGACGTTCCGATGATGTACAAATAAACTCGATTTGTGTGTTTGTCGACCTCATATTTTCTGGGTGCTTGTTGAATACACTTTCTACATTTTGCCAAAACTTCTTCCTCTACTTAGTGGAGCCTTAGGACTCTGGGATTAGAGTAGCCTATCGTATCACTGGATCATTTGTCTTCGCTGTTGTCTACCGATTAAGGTGAACTCATAATAGTTTCGAGCATATCAATTGATGAGCATAACACAATATAAATTTTGTTTTAATTTTGAGGAAAATTTATGATTTTCAAGTTTTGACAAAAAAAAGTGGCGAAAACGAGCATTTTGTATGGTTAGAACTTATTCTAAAACTTCTTTAGCTTTTTCTAAAAGTCAAGATCAATAGTATAAAAAAAATAAATAAAATTATGAATCTTCAGATTGATATTTTAGCCAATCAGAAGAATCCTTCAAAAAAATAAGTAGTTATCAATGACCTTATTTACTGGAAGTCAAGACCGATGCTATGAAATGTTGTTTAATCTCACCCTTTCTCATTATCATGGTGATCGACTGAAATAATGAAGACCTCAATATCTGGCTCTTCTATCGCACACGCAACAACAAATACAAGAGAAGACGATCAGTGTAGTAGTAGTCTCAGCAGCAGCGGGTCTCAACATACACAGGGGGGGAAACAAGATGCTCTGATAAAACACAACATGTGCCGACTAAATCACTGTTGATGGAGGACGTAAAAACCTTTACAAATCTGGACAGCACCAAGTATGAGTAAGGTGGATCTGATGCCGATGTGTAGACATGAATAAGCAAAGCGTGAGTGACATTTCTACAATTGAAGAGCATCCAGGACTCAAAGCAACTATCAACAACACCAAAGTCACAATTTTCCATACAAATGTCAAGACAATTCTACTGTATGGGGTGGAAACTTGGAGATCTATCAAAGCCATCATCCAGAATATGGAAGTGTTCATTGAAAGTTGTCTACGCAACATACTAATATAAAAACTGTCCTATGAACTCAAAATTTCCTTAAGATTAGGCCCATTAAACACGTTACTGAGGCAATGAATTAAAACACAAATCTTTATTGGATTACTTGAACAATAATTTCCTCTTCTTCTTCAGCAGTAACTGGCCACCATCCACGTGCTGTCCGATTTTTGAACATTGAAAATCTTGGACAATCTGGTTCCAGTTGATGTAGACCACAACTTTTTGCTGTTTTTGCACATCGTGGTAAAGATGAAAGACGCATTGTAATTGATCCTGTTAAAATAAAGTGAAAAGTTCTCCAGATAATTCATTTAAACACAATGTAAACAAAGGTATATATAACTGTTACTTCATTGAAATCCAGAATTGATCCAAGTCAATGCTGAGGACGTTAGATCTGTAGAACTAGCTTGATAAATGCTTCAATTTTGGATTTTACGTTTCTGAGCATGTGCTGATTGGTCAGCTGACCTTGAGATCACATTTCCCACCAGGAAAATCCTTGACTGTGATTGGTTACTGTGTTATTTTAGTGTGCTATTTTTGTGAATGTCTCAAGGACGTTCCTATGATGTATAAATAAGCGCGGTTTGTGTGCTTGAGATGATTGTGCTTGCTGGGTGTTTGTAGAATATACTTTCTACGCTATATCAAGGTAGACTACCTGGACACTGGTTCATTGTCTCGTTCTCGTTTATCGACTAAAGTGAACCCGTAATAGATTCAAGCATACCTGGAGACGATCATAGCAATCAACCAACCACTGAAATTACTAGGAGACTGTTTTGTCTTACTATGGACCTCAACAGTGCATATCCACAACACTACAACAGAATTATGAAGCATCCTGTAGTATAAAATGGATTACAACTGTATCATAAATGAAAAATATATTTACAATATTTTGATAATTAGCACAAACAAGATTTCACTCATTATCACAGATGGAAGTAATCAACAGGTAGGTTTGACACCCAGACACATTACTCGTGATATTGAGTCATTCAGACTAGTGGCTACAGTACAGCTTGATCATTATCGTTGTTTTTCACTTTTGATAATCTCATTTAATTTGAACATCCATTGCAAATTGACTGTAAAATATGTTTTAGTTGGTATTGAATTCCTTTGTGCATTATTCATAGATTACACTGATTGTCGTTCAAAAAAAAAATACACATTTATCACCTCATTTCCTCTTTCAGTTTGCTGCCTAATTAGAAGGTCTTTAAAACACTTGCTAAATACCTTAACAGTACGAATGCACTGAAATCATCAGTCAACTATTGGAAATCTGGAAGTACTGAAAGATGGACGTTTGAACCTGGTATGGGACTCGACAGTAGTGCGCATCTACGACTCCCGCTACTCGCAGGAGTTCTTGTGCGCGAACGCCTAGCCTCTGAGCCCCTGTGCCGGCATCCAACGGTGAGAAAGTCTAACTCTGAACAGTCTAAGGATTTTGCGCTACCTCACCCATTTGTCTTTTAGTTACTGACTAAGCCCGTATCCTGCGAGTAGCAGGAGTCATGGATGTGAACTGCTGATGATCCTCATACCAGGACGAAACGGTCGTCTTTCAGTGCTTCCAGGTTACTGATAGTGGTCGAACACTAATCTCCATAACTCTGTGTGAAAAAATTAACAGTATGTGTTTCTCAATGTTATCTTGATCGATCATTTGTCATAATTAGAAAGTTTATCCAGTATATTTTGGGATAATCAGTCTCTTGTCTTAATTGTAGAATCATTTTTCAGCCAAATAATTGCCCAAATCATCAATTAATTGCTAGTAACTTCTGTGTAAACTCTTTACAAGTCTTTGTTTTGTTTAAACTCTATGTTTTCTATTGAATAACTAGACTATTATTATTATATCATTGCATTCCACCTTCTGTAGTTTAGTGTTGACTTATTGTTTAAAACATTGGACTCCTAACCATAAGTTTTCGACTTCGAACCCTGTCCTGTTTACTATAAGTCTGTGCAACTGAACAATATCACTAGCTCAAATATCAAAATGTAGGGCTTCAATCTGAACACAACGATTTGTGTTTGGTTACCGAGATATATTAAACCAATGGAAGTATATGTGCAAAGTTTTTAGTTTTTAATGACCACAGTTCATCAGTACAGCTTGTTCGCTTTTGGTTATGACAATTATAGTCAGTAACTTTTTGTACTATCATACAGATATATACTGCGTAAATAACATGACATTGATATCGATAGTCATCTTTGCTGGAGCTAATTGATATCCGTTATTATTTATCATAAAATGACCAGAGAGTAGACAAAACGAAAATGAATTATCTCTGTAGTTTTTATGCTAAGTGAACGATATTATTATAACTCTGTTCCTAAATAAAAATATGTGCACTGATAAACAGATTCACTTGGTCTACCTTATTGATGATTATTAGGAATTTTGTTCCCCAATATATAATCGAGAGATGGTTCTCATCAAGAATTTATTCCAACTGAAGAATCAATGAAAACTAGGGAGATTACAAAGGAGAACGAGACTTCTCTGAAGTAAGAACCTATAACTACACAGGAGGGGATCGATATAGGATATTCGTGTCTATTAGTAAACAGATTTTTAAGCTTCTCTAACCTTGTTTTAATTCAAGGTTGCGATTCTCATCATGAACTGATGTCAGCTATGATGTAAAAATGTCCTGTAGCCATACGGATGAATGAAAATATAAGAATTGCTGTCTGTCAAATTCGGAGCCACAAGTTGCTTTCAGAATTCTAGGTTTAAGGTTGAGGTTTAAAAAATAGCTTCAATTTGTCTGTTAGATTTATGCATTTAATATGTTTGACATCACCATTTCTACTCTATAATTGAAAAAATAGATTTCTCACTATTATTGTAAACGGTTTTATCATCAATAACCGGAGGTAGTTCTTATGTTATTGATACATGATATTTGAACTCCTCATACAAACCTAAAAAGTTCAGTCCTAATTTCTAATGTACTCGTTACTAAAACAAACTTTCACATAAAAATCTAATTTAAATGATATAGTTTGAAAATCGTAATTTTAAATCTTATTTCATTTAGTTGGATTATTGAGTTACACTATAAACTTTTTAGTAAAGTCTTAAACTAATTCAAAACTTGAAAATCAATAGTATCCAAACGATAGGGAGTATTGAATAGCTAGTCATGTCAACACGAAATGTATTAGCAAGTAAAACTTAAAAAAGACCATTTTAGGTGTGCTAAAACACTATTTCGATGAGTTGTATGCATTGGAAAGTAATAAATTCTATAAATTTACATTAATATTTTTATGATGTGTAATATAGAGGAGTTATAGAGATTGTTGAGTTTCATTGAAGTAATCAATCGATCATTCTTAGGCCACCATTAGAAACCTGGAAGCACTGAGAGATGACATTACCAGTATACATCCACGACCCTCGCACCCAGGAATCGAACACAGGACCTTTGATTTCGCTCACGAGCGCTTTACTTCTGAACTAGCATCCAACGGTGTTAATGTCCAATTTTAATCAATCCTAGGTATTGTACAACCTCACTCACTGTCTTCCATAGGCAACTGAGTACATCCGACATAGTTGAACTCCAGTGGTCATGGTTTCGCACTAGAACTCCGAGAATTTATTTACGAAGCTAGCTCAGTGGACTAGAGGTTAAGCGTTTACGCGTGAAACCGCAGGTCCTGGGTTCGATTCCCTCGTGTGAGGGTTGTGGGTGCGAATTTCTGGTGAGTTCCATACTAGGACAAAACGGCCGTCTTTCAGTGCTTCCAGGTTTCTAATGGTGATTTAACAATGACTGATTCATAATTTCTTAATTTAGTTGGGCAGTATCATTAAAGATAACTGTCCCTCTCTCTGAACAAGAGTAAGCTTCAACAATCCTAACTTCTTATGTTATTAATCACAATTATAATAATCAAGAGGGAAGTATGATTGGTCTAGGTTTGAATGGAAAAAGGGTGACCTTAATCGGAGTAGTATACCGTTTGTACAGTTTAATAATTCATTGGAAAACACATTCTCATAAAAATGCATTTACTAACGATGAATGCTTCAATATAAATACCTTAAAATTCCTTCTAATGGTCTTATCATATTTCATACGCTCATCGTGTACACAAACAAACATAAGAATGAGATCCATGAGGGCGAAGCGAAGCAAGGCAAAAAGAAAGCGAAGTCAAGTGGGTCAACCCCATTTACGGTCAAACAAATATATAGGCGGCTGAAGATACGTGATGAGTAGACTATGAGTGATGCACAGACATACATAGTGAAATAAAAACATCCAAGGTCATAAGCCAATATCACTAACAAGGTCATATAACTTGCGAAGAGTTGATCGATTGATTTTTCCAGAGCAAGGTATGTGTAGGTCGACATAATACAGTAGTATAGACTACAAACACAAAAGTATTATGCATGCCAAACTTCCAGATCAAGGTTGTGTAGTATATACTAATGAAATAACTATAATTAGTAGGAAACAACTATCTTGAAGAAAAAAAAACTTTTCTACTAACAGTTTAACCTAAGAATTAAAACAATAGCTGACAAATTTAACCTTAAAAAATATCTGATATTATTTATTATATTACTGGAATTTGACTACATTTGACCAAATATGGACTTGAACATTACAATAACTGAAGCTTAATTTATATGAAATGAGTACATATTCATTATAAGAATTATAGAGACTGTTGTTGATTAATCAAAGTTAGGCATTATAACAATGTTGGCTGTCACCTCAATGGTCTAGAAGTTAAGCGCTCACGCTAGCGCTTGAGTTTGAGTTCTGAGGATGTCAGGAATTATGCATGCGCACTATTGAAGAGTTCCATACTAGAACGGAATGGCCATTTCTTAGTAATTCCTGGTTTCTAATAGTGGTCTAATAATGATTGTTTCATGATTTCAATGAGAAATAACTTACCAATAAAATTATCTCTTGTAATAAGATCAGCATCCCATACTTGTAATGTTAATTCACAATTCGCTTTAATCATATGTGGTTCAATGTCAAATGATCCTTTAATTGGATAAATTATTCTATCTTCTGCTTTAATATAATCAAATGGAAATATAAAACGCCAATTAAAATTTCCTTCACCAGATAACGATCTAAAATTATTATATCAAAGAGAGAGAAAAAGTATTATAATTTAAATTAATGAGGAAAAAGAGTTATGATCTACTAGTTGAAACATTTGATTCTCAAACAAACAGTATGTAGTAGATTTATGCTGAAATATTTTGAAAAGGAATATGCCAACTTGTGTCACTTATGGCACAAGCGAAATATCCATTTGCTAATTAAAGGACGAGTCTACTGAGCAGTAGATTCCTCCGTTCTTCTATATGGATGCGTAACATGGCTAGTCAGAGTAGAGAATATTGGTAGGCTATCAGTATTCGATCATAGTTGTCTTCGAAGGGTTGATCGTATGTCATGGGACAACTGAGTATGCAATGTTAAAGTTAGGAAACGAGTACAAGGTCGGGATGAGAAATCAGTAGATGAAGTATCGAAACTTCATCAGTTGAAGTGGTTGGGATATGTGTTACGAATGTCCAACTACCGACTGCCTCGTCGAGCGATATTTTGTGGTGTAGGAATAGAGAGATTAGAAGAAAGTTAGGGGCAACCAAACTAAAACATAGCTCAAATCCATGAAGTCGCCAACAGGTGGGTTGAGTCATGTTGCTAGATGTAGACTACCTGTATGGGGTCAGTAAGATGATAGTAATCGATGGTCAGAGACCTTGAACGAGATGGCTGAAAACCGTTTGCAATGGCGCAGATGCATCTAATGTTCGTGTTCTCTGAAATTCCACTCCTCTGAATTCCTCATCACCTCCACCTTTCTCTTTCTAAATTGATTTCACCAGATTCTACTTCTTGATTAATATCGTCCAACCCTAATATCTCCGAATACTGCTAATACTTCTACTACATCTACTACTATGGCATTTGAATTGACAATTGCATCTCTGTGCTAATGCGGTATGGCAACCTGAACTGATGTACGCACGTACGTACGAAATTCTACGTTGTAACTGACTGACTGACTGATGATGAAAGTGAAATGTAACGTGAAGTAGATCTATTAACATCAATCAAATATATTGTATGACATAGACAACAATGATGCCTGCCCTAAGAAGTTCACAAATGTGGTTGGATACCAACTTAACCTTAACGATAGTTTTATTTACTCAAATAAAATCAACGGGAAACTTTTGGAAAACAGTAGGCGCTAGATGGTCATTTCATTGTGGTTTGTTAGTCTCAACTAATGGGCAAACATTAGTCAGAATTAACTTTGAAGGTCTCATGCAACACCCAAGTGTGATACTAATATATTCTGTATTGTCAGTACGTTTTTCAATTATTAACAATAATATTAATAATTCAAATAAATAAGGTAGTAATAATAATGCTTAATACTATTAGGTTACGTAATAACAACCAGTGTCATGTTGTCTAGTGTCTTTAGTGCTGAGAGTACTCTATCTAGTAAAAATGTAATTTGGCTACTTATCTAAGTGATACGTCATGGGTATATACTTTCTTGGATATTGAACAGTTGGATCCAAGTCTCTGACCTACAACAGGAAGTAATATTTCTCTTAAGAATCTGAATAAGGCGTTTATTGACGAGTATCAATAAACCAAGAGAGTATGTAAGTCACAATCCAATTATCGGATATCAGATAACAGGATTATTATCTTCAAGCAAACATTGAATCAAATCCATTTCATATGTTATTCCATAAGGAAAGTATCTAAAAATGAGAAACCATTGATGTTACCATTTCGTGAATCAATTTTTATATGATTGACTGACAGAATGAGTCTAAACATATCATGTCTCTTTTTAAAAGCTCGATGGCTCGGATGAACTACATATGTCTAACACAGTTTTCAACCTAAAAAGTTCTTGAACATAAATGCTTAGAATGTTAATCATAAGATCTTACATTTCACTTGTATAAATGAAAGAGTTATGAAATAAAATTAAACAAGAATTCAGTAACATTAAGAGATTAAATCAACTTCCCATAAATATTTCACTAACCTGTAATGAACATCGGTTTTTTGATCGTCGATTCCAACACCTTTTATCCACCCTTTAACATATATATCGGAACTTCTCTCGGAAGAGAATAATGAAGTGTCAGTGAGTTTTACCTGAAATGATTGAGTTTAAAAACGTAATAAAATTTGAGAACAATTCCAATTTTAACTCAGTAAAGATATGATTCACACAAATTAACATAGTTTTTAATTAGATTTTCAGCAGACTTTACTTAAGAAATATTTGAATGAAAAACAATAAATCGGTCAGACGTGAGATAAATCAACATGTTGGCTAAGCGTTCTAAATTTTGGGCGCTATATATGAGACCTGAAGGTCCTAGGTTCGATCTCCAGTTGGGTCATCAGTAAGTACTGTTGATGGTTACGATACCAGGACGAAATAGCTGCTCATGTGCCTTCTGAGTCACAGCAATTGTCTAATTGAAATCAATAAATACTTACTTACTTAGTTACTTAAGCATGTTATCCCTAATTCACAATAGAATGACAAGCAGCATTCCATAACCTACTCTGTACCGAGCCTTTCTTTCTAGTTCATTTTTCTCATGCCTGTCTCTAATTCTCGACGTAAGTTGCGTCCTTTGGTCTTCCTCATTTCGTTTTTCATTCACGATTCCAAGTGATGGCTTGTCTAGTGATGCAGTTCGGTGCTTTCTTCAATGTGTGTCCTATTCAGCTCCATTGCTTTTTCCTTATTTCTCCCTCCGCTGGAATTTGGTTTGTTCTCGTCCACATAAGATTGTTACTGATAGTGTCTGGCTAGTGGATCCAAAGTATGTTGCGTAGACAACTGTTAATGAATACTTGTATATTCTGGATGATGGCTTTGATAGTTTCCCAAGTTTCAGCCCCATAGAGTAAAACTGTCTTGACATTTGTATTTGTGTTGGTCGACAGTTGTTCTGAGTTATTGAGATGTTCTTGAAATATCAAAATGCTCTCCTTGCTTTGCCGATCAGCGCCTTGACATGTTCATGTTTTGTTAGACATCAATCCATGATTGAAATACTCATATTCAACAATCTATACACAAATCCTACTTTAATTGTTATCGTTACAATTAAAAAGTACAAATCTTTATTTAATCAACCGATGTGTTAATATCAATGATTATAATGAAATAAATTGAATTCATGTTTCAACATCGTAAGTAGGTCAAAGCTTGTTAGAAATGAATATCAAGAAATCAGTTATTCAAGTTCAGTAAAATTCAATTGAAGATTGTACTGATTTAAAATATCTATAAATAAATTTTATGAATAGTTCTCATTGACTTTTATTATGGTTATCAATAATAAATATAATTTCAATTTCAAACCATATCAACTTATACAATCCTGTTTAAATAATTTTGAAAGTGATTATTTAGAGAGGGAGAGAGAGAGAGAGAGAGTTAAACATTATCATCCATTTATAACAACCAGATATGAGATAACTAAACAAGCTGGCTAAGTGCTCGATATGAAACCTGAAGGTCCTAGGTTCGATCTCCAGTTGGATCATCCGTAAACGCTATCGATAGTTCCCATACCAGGATAAACTAGCTGTTCATGTGCCTTTTAATTCACAACGATTGTTTAAATGAAATCAATCCTTACTTACTTACGCCTGTTACCCACAATGGAGCATAGGCTGCCGACTAGCATACTCCGACCTACTTTGTCCACAACTTTCCTTTCCGGTTCTGTCCGATTCTTGTTCATCCTTCTCATGTCTGTCTCCACTTCTCAGCGTAATGTGTTCTTTGGCCTTGAGGATTTCAAGTTAGCACTTACCTCATGACGCAGTTCATTCATGTGTATGCATACACTGAAGTTTTTTTTGGATTCATACATACTGAAAAACAGTGTGACTGCCTGAACATCTCATTTGTGGTCTCTATCTATCTACGATTTCATTTCGATAGTGAGCATGATGTTAGAGTCAACATAATCAGTCATTGTTAGTGGGACATAGATGGAATTAAAGCATGACTACGTTACTGCACGCTGACAGGCTAATTCCCTATCCAATCAGCGCCTAATCGATTCTTGGAGAACAGGGTAGAAAATTCTCGTATTGTTAGCTGCATGCTGATTGGCTGAATCTAATCCAGTCAATCACGTGAATTTCTATCCAGAATATTCTCATGTAAATGCTATAAAGAAACTAACGTTGTATCTATTTTGCCTTCTTCACCATCACCTTTGGCTTCTTATTTCCATTTAACCTTGCTATTTGGAATATAATCTATTGTCCAGTTCAATCGAGTTTTTGATTCTTGGGAACTTGTCCAATGTATTGTGTGGTCAGAGAATACTAAGCAATAGGATTTAGCTGGGAATCATTTAAGCAAGCGTTACAATAGTCATATTAAATGATTCCAACAATTCGCAATTATTTTATTCAGACATATAACCTGAAGAGAGTTTTGATGTTTTGCATGTTATAAACTTTTATTTATTATAGTGAAGTCAATGAGAAAACAACTGAAGCTTAATTATCATTTCAGAATGAAAATACGATGCTGGAAAGATGAACATGAGTAAATCAGGTTCAATAACTTCGGCCACGGTGAAGAAGTTCTCAGTTTAGAATTTTTAATTGATTAATATATATATATTAGTTTAAACAAAATTGCGATTTAGCTAAACGTTATTATGTATGATTGAACATGATACCAATCCTTCTTTATTTATTGATTCAAACTGCATTCGAAGCCCTTCTCGAGCTTCTGCCAGTCCCATGCCCGGATAAAGGAGAAGGGCTGGGCGTGGTGTTGGCGACCACATCGCTTAGAAAAATAACTCGCTAAAAAATCACTAACCAGAAAAATGTAGTCAAATATCAAGTTATCTTTTAAACGTACATATAACAGTTCATGTGTAACTGAAATAGATTTTAACAAAGATTATCTCATTGTGAAGTTAGGCGTCCGCGCGCAAGACCGAAGGTCTTGAGTTCGAGTCCTGCAAAGTTCATGGGTCGTGGATGCGTACTGCTGATGAGTAGTCTCATACGAGGACGAAACGCTCGCCCCGTGCAAACAGGTTTCTAATAGTGGTCTGTTACGCTTGCACTTAAAAACGTCAACTTGATATACTTGAACTATTATGAGTTTATCTAGTCGGAAAAACGAGAGCGATGATCGAGGATCCGGCAACACGACATGCTACTCAAATCCGATTATTCCAACCCCCATATTCAGTGAAAATAAGACAAGACATGATATGAAGTAGAATCTGTATTCTACAAGCATCCAGAAAGTACGAGGTCCGAATCCAGAAGATTAACAGGATCCCGGACTAGGGATAAGGGACCGGGTCCTGGTCCTGGTCGTGGTCATAAAACGTTTCAGATAAGGCCTATTTATACATTTTGGTCGAATAGGAAACAGCATTGATAGTTAAGACGACCAATAAGAAACAACATTTGAAGCGACATTGATAGTCAGGACAACCAATAAGAAACAACATTGGAGCACGTGACATTGATATCTC